TATAGAAAGAGGAAGAAGATGAGAGATGAAGAGAGAATGAGGGAAGAGGAAAGAAACGTATAGCAAGGTCATCATCAGTGCTTAAGGAAAAAGAAGAAGTGTACAATCATAGATTGTCACACTCCCGGATGAAAACTAGACGCGCTCCTGAGCGTCTCAAGCAAGGAAGAGGTAAGAGGGAGGAAAGCAAAGAGAGAAAAAAAAATGTGATAATGTTATGTCATTGTTGGGAGGTTTGTTGAAGTCGGGATTCGGAAATAAACGGATGGCAAACGAGGACGTCGAAGAAAAAAACATAATGCTAAGATGATAAATAGTGATATGATAATACTGAGAGTAGCTATATTGAGAATACCAATTGGGTGTCGATGTAGGTCTCGTAGTGAGGGCATTGACTGAGCAGGGGTGATAGAAGGCAGCGGTTGTTGAGAAATAAATTTAATAACTTCTTGTAGTTCGTTTGATATAAATGGTACTTTTGGCCATCGAGTATGATTACGTAAGTAATCTGACATGTCAAATTGTTCACCGTAAGTAAAGTTAGTTAAAGAAAAGTCCCATAAAGAAACGGGTTGAGTTGAAACGTCAGGTGAAGCGGGTATGTTGAATTGATCACATAAGAGTGTTGTTTTAGGTGGAATAGTAATTAATGTAACTGTAGATAATGTTCGACCCGTGTTCTGAATGAGATGCGGTGTGTTAACCGTAGGGGCTGTGGCAAGATTACATCTTTGCATTCGTGTTGTGGATATAATCCATTGTGATCCTATCTGGCGATAGAATATATCATCGTTGTAAGGTTCGGTACGGCAGGAGGATAGAGTGGAATCGTTGAGTATTTGAAATAAGCAAGTATCACTCCATTTTGTAATAATTGGTGGTGTTTCTCGGCAAACAGACATATCGTTGAAATTGCAGATTTGAAAATCAGTTTCACTCCATTTAATAAGCTGAAAGTTAGTGTAATCAATACCAATAGCTTTTGGTAAATTTGCTAAACGAACGCGTTTTCCATAATAGTAAAAAGGTACTGAGAATAGTTCATATACTGCAAATGGAGTAATGCGTCGTTTGGTATCTGCAAAGAAAGAAGAAATTGATCATGGGGTGGCAAATATCAAATTCATTTATATTTTAAAAGTTCCATGCCAAAAATATCCAAAATTTTCATTCTTAAAATTTGTAAATTTTAAAAATTTTCATAGTTTTTACAACGCGATGAAATAATAGGCAAGGACTTGGATGGGTATATAAATTACAGTTTTGAGTCAAATCGCCAGAAGTAAACTGAAAGATCAGAGAAATCAGAAGTTTACCTCTCTCATCATATAAATCATAGCCAGCAATCAGAAGTTTACCCATCTCGTCATTTAAATCGTAGCCAGCAATCAGAAGTTTACCTCTCTCATCATATAAATCATAGCCAGCAATCAGAAGTTTACCCATCTCGTCGTTTAGACCGTAGTCAGCAATGAGAAATTGATCATTCATATTCAAGCTTAAAATTTAAATGATTTTAAAACTTATATATATCGATCAAAGTCCAATGAGAATGTGAGATAATAGATATTTTGGGATGTAATGTATACTTATGAATTAAATCGATACTCAACGAGAAAAAGTATATAAAAATGAGATAAAAATCGATAGCATCAAATGATGCCATAGTAAAATAGAATAAACATTTTCAAACTGCTTGATCATAGGAACTAACACCTGTTGTTTTGCAATTTTTTAGATGAAAAAGAATCGTATAGNATTTGAAAATCAGTTTCACTCCATTTAATAAGCTGAAAGTTAGTGTAATCAATACCAATAGCTTTTGGTAAATTTGCTAAACGAACGCGTTTTCCATAATAGTAAAAAGGTACTGAGAATAGTTCATATACTGCAAATGGAGTAATGCGTCGTTTGGTATCTGCAAAGAAAGAAGAAATTGATAGTGTTCCCAAGATTGAATCTGTTTGATTGGAAGATGTTGTTGGTACGAAGTGAATGGTCTGTTGCACTAGAAGACGACTAAGTAAATCAATTAGTGGTGGTCCTAGGTGTTCAGTAGTAAAGTTGACATTGGTAGACATTGCAATGTGGTTTGCCACTTTGTTTAAATCCCGATGATGTATGAAATTAAGATTGAGTCGGTTAGCAAGAATATCCGCAATGGAGGCATGTAAAAAGTGAGATTCCACAGAATGAATAAATGTAGAAAGTCGATTGTCTAGGTATCTTGCAAAAATACCTAGGTGTTCTATAGCAATTCCATGATGGTTTATAATGGCTGAAGTGCGATTCAAAGCACTTTGTGTATGATTAAGTACTAACGCAAGTTTTAGTTGACCAGCTTGAAGATGAAGAAGTTCTGCTGATACTGAATCGAGTTTGGTGAGTGCTTTGGTAATCGTCTCTATATCATGTTGAATTTGTGTTATGTGAGCATAGTTGATCGTTGACATTGCGAGGGCTGTTGACCCTGTCCCAATTGCAATGAGATCAGTGATTAAGCGTTTGTGGCGTGTTGTATTGGTAGGCGATGATCCTGATGGATCGTAGCCACATTGTGGTATTTTATGTAATGTATGTAATGGAAGTAGATAGCACATGTCTTGGGTGAGAGGTAATGCCACAGTAAAAGATATAATGTTATCGGCTGGCGCATATTGTGCCAGGTATCGAAAAGCTAGGCCAGAAGTTGGATGAACAGCGTTAGCACGTGGTAATTGTACTAAGGATGAGCCAATTGGTATGATGATGAGAAGTGCGAAGAAGTTTAACATTCTTGTGACAAAGAATGGCTGTATAATACTAAAAAGACAAGGATAAGATAGTGATCAGGGAAACTATTATACGTATATAGATATATATATATAAATATGTAAATTCATAAATAGGTTTGTTACTGTTTACGATTTCGTAAAAAATAACGTTGAACTGGAGGGGAAGGAGATGAGTTGTGAGTAGGTAAGGTAGGGGTAGTGTCATCTTTGGGTTCATAATATAACTTCATACGATCGACGTTAGTTGCACCAAGATTGACATTATCCTTCAGGCGGACTACATTGAATGTAGATGGTGAAATTTGTTCTATCAGTCGGCATGGTCCTTGGTATTTTGGTCGTAGCTTGTGTGAAATTGTTGCATTGCCGATTTGAGGGGCAGGCATTTGAATCCATACTAAGTCACCTACATAAAAGTGTCGTTGTTTTATATGTTTATCATATTTGTGTTTTTGACTAATTTTTTGAACCAGAGAATGTTCACGAACCAGTTGATAGGTATTTCGTAATGTTTGAGCTAGTTCATTGCGATATTTTTGTAAAAACTTGTGCTCAGGGGTGGTTACTAATGTGTGAGCAGATGGTTTTTC